ATTGTGATTGTAATCATTACATATATATATATATATATATATATATATATATGTATGTATCTAACATCAGTATAAGATGTCATAAAATTAACAAAAATTAGCACACTGTGAATTTCTATGCATTTGTGGGAAAGTTGACGATCAAAAATAAGCCAAAAGTGTAATACTCGTTGCAATACACATACTTCGTTGTTTAAGTTCGACAATTATTATGTAATAATTTTATATTTTATCGGAAAGGTGTGTCGAATTCGCTTCATTGCGTTCACGTTGGATTGAATTTTTCTTGCTGAACTTAGGAACAACGTGTTGCACGATCGTTTTCAACTCTCTTAGTTTTCAACTAAGGCTTGCTGAACTCGCTCGGTGATTTTCATAAAGCCGGCACATCACACTGTATGATACGCATCGTATCGACTCTGAAGTTTCCACGGTGCAGGTTGCAAAGTTGTCTGTACCAATATTGACGTATCGACGTTAATTAGGGCTTGCATCGATGCTGCAATTAATATACCATCTTAGTTGATGAGCAAGTAACATCGATACCGAGTGTCACTTTACGTTTAATTGCAAAAGACACTAAAGAATTCTAGTAGTTTTGCACATTTCATCGTCACGTTTCATTTTTTTTTTAAATTATTATTATTAAGTTTCTCAGAATACATTTGGCATGGAAATTAGAGAAGATCACCGGAAGTGATCTTGTTAATAGATCTGCTATGGATTTTTATGCAAGTAAAAAAAGAAGTAGAGTCTCGTTGGAAAGTATTGTTTTAAGTATTGTATTATAATCGCTGTTCCTTGAAGTATAATTGGATTTCTTTCAGTATTGTATGTGAAAAACATCCCCCAAATGACCACCATTTTCCAGCTCACAAGTAGAGACATCTTCCATGCGCAAGATTTAGGTTAGGTTTCAAGTCCGAAACGTCCTTCAGCTCGAACGTTCTCTTGTCTATTTTAAGTTCTTTCGCCACAAAAACAAGTCTGCTGTCGTCAAATCAAATTTGACATTAAAACGGTGTTTTTCCTTTGAGTTTGAATAATTGATTTTTCACTGGAATAAAGAAACTCGTTACTGGACACCATATGTGGCCATTTTAACTTCCAAGGGATGCTGCCTATAACCAAAATAAAAAAAGAAAATAAAAGAATATCGAAAACTTTAATTTTCTAGTGGTCACCCTGTATATAATAAACGCTATACCCTCTATATTCTAAATGAATGAAATGAATATAATTGAATATAATTGAAAAGTTGAATTGCAGAAACTGAATTTTAAATTCAACGAATGATAATAAATACAAGTCCTATCGATATAGAAAATATTGATAATTGAATATAATTGAAAAGTATAATTGCAGGAATTAAATTTTAAATTTGGCGAACTGCCTATAACCTAAATAAAAAAAGAAAATAAAAGAATATCGAAAACTTCAATATTCTAGTGGTCACCCTGTATACAATAAACGCTATATACCTTCTATATTCTAAATGAATGAAATGTAAAGTCTTTCGAGGAGAACGGATAACGTGACCAAATTTAACCCTCTAAAGGCCCGCGTAACTTTCAAGTCGCACACCAATAGTATCGATATTTTATTAAACAATCGAACCTCTTAGGAATGTCTTCATTAATCAGTACAACATTCTTGACAACAGTGATATTCAAAATATCACCATCTATCTCTGAAGTGTCTCATTTCATTACTCGTAATCGAAATCTTCAAAAACTACTGAATTCATTGTCCTAACCTAAACTTTTTTCTCTCGCAGACCCTCGACTGCGTTCACCCCTTTGCCTCTCTGTGTCTTGTCTCCCTCTCCCCGCCCCTCCTCGAGGCACAACACATAAGGAAGCGGAACCTAACCTAACCTCTATTTTTTTTTCGCCCGAACAGAGGCTTGAACCTTGGACCCTCAAATTAAGAGTCTGATGCTCTACCGACTGAGCTATCCCCACCACACTCATTGTCCTAACCTAAAGCCTCTGTTGCATGAATTTTTTATGACGAGTCGAAGAAATATACGGCCGTTGGTCTACTTGAAGAAATGAGCGTGGTCATGAAACGAATAATAAAATTTTATTGGGAAATGTTATTTATTGCATTTTACGACTGTTCTTGCATGGGGACTTAACTCAAGTCCCCCAATTGGGGACTTTACTCAAGTCCCCCAATTGGGGACGGGATGCAACAGAGGGTCAATCTAATCATTGTTAACTGCATCTTAACTATTTGTAGATTGATATCTGTTGATTTTACGTTCACGTACACCTGTGTTCCAGATCGTGGCTGTACCTGTTTTGCGCGCGATGCCACGGCCGCGACGACACGCCGTCGTGGGAGCCGCCCGGTTGGAGGCGAGCCTGCCCCCAGCCATTCTGCCCGAGCTACAGAAAATTCGCTCGGATATTGTGCTTGTTCCTGTTGGGATTGTTGCTCTGGGGCATCGTATACACGATACTGGGCAACGAGGCAGCCCCTGGCGGCCAACTTTTCAGCCTGGCGGCCCTTACTATAGCCGCGCATTTCGGCGGCTGGCTGTTCTCCTTGACCACCCTTCCTGCCCTGATCGGTATGCTAATCACCGGAATTATACTGCAGAACATCGGCCTGGTCAGGATCGAGGGCAACTACACCACCGTCGTCTCGACTATGCGGTGAGTCTCTGCTTCCTATTTTCATATCAACTTTTTTTTTTTTTTTTGTGTAGTTTCTCTAGTTCCCAGTGTCTTGTGAATGTTAACGCTAGAACTACCGATTTAAGTTAAGACGAAGCTATATATAAAATGACTGATGATCTTTTGAAGGAAACGTAATAATAGAATATTTTTATATTTGTTGATCTATTACTTTCTTGTAGAAAGAAATCCCAAATATTCTTAGAACTTCCCCTTGAACATTGGAGAAATTCGTTTGAATCCGTGTGCACGATAATTAACACGCGGATTTTTACACGGAATATGAACTATTTCTACCAAAACCAGTTAAAATGACTGATCTAAAAAAAAAAAAAAAA